TTTTTTTAATCCACTCAGTGCGATGTTCAGACCCAGCTGTGTTAACCGCATCAGCTAAACTCTCCCACTCTATTTTTTTTCTTTTGTTATTATTCCGAAGGACAAACTTGCTAATAACACCGCCTTTCTCCAATCCACCTCCGAAAGCAGCACCTAGAATTCACATTCTGTTCAAAGTTTCTCTTTTTGCTTGCTTTTTCCATTGCTTTTTCGTTGGGTTTTGCCAAAGTAGAGTCATTAGCATATTCATACGGGGGAGGAGGCAGGGAGGGGTTTTGGGCTCGTGCATGCTTAGTTTCACGTTCATTCGGATGTACAAAGAGAATATGCATGTGATTTAGCGTACGCAGTGTTTCATACAACTGAATTTTTTACTGCGTACGCACATTTATAGCTTTGTGCGTACGCAATGTTTTAGTATGATTTCAACGCAAGTCTTTGTACATGAGGCCCCTGGTGAGCAAAATAGTTTAGCGCAACTGTGATTGGGTTTATATTGGTCTGTGTTCAACGTAACTTATCCTCTGTGTGTGTCTGTAAGAGGAGCAAGTCAGAGCAGAGCTCATTAATATTCACGACCCAAAACATATATCATCAATTATGGACCTTCTAATTTTATGTGTAATTTAGGGAGTAATAAATGAGCTTATAAAATTTTTTATTTTTACCACTTTATATAAAAACATACACACTTGTTTGAGAACACAGAACACATTTTGAACTTGGAGTTTTCCCCGTCAAAAAAGTGCTGCGCAGATGAAAGACAGAAAAAAAGGTCGCCTAGTTTCTGCGTACACTCACCCCGAAAATGCTGTTTGTATGATTTAATTAATTTCATCGTATCAAAACACATTATAAATAATATTTAAAACATTTTCCGGAGTTTATTTATTTATTTTTAGAAAATATCTCAAATCTTTTTTTTCAAAGAGGCTTTTGAAAAATGAAAGTTTAATATAAATTTGAAACAGTTTGATATAGTACCTAATTGCTATAGCTATAGTTTTATATTGGTTTATTTATTTAATGTGATTTTATTATATCTGATATTTGTAATTCTTTAAATTATTTCAATATAGGGATATTTTATCTAGATATGACACTAATGTTTTGAGCCTACAAAAGTGGATATGAAATTTGTAAAGTTTAATGTCTTTGTTTCATTCATATAGTGTATTATCTCCAAAATAAATTAAAACAATAAAAAGAAAAGAAAAAAGCCGCTCGCGGCATCAACAGAGCTATGAATGGAGCTCTCTTTTCCTCGGTCTTACACACATACACAGGCATCTAAACGCGAAAAAACACTTATTAAACTTGACAAAACCTCTTGAAAACCTTTACTGTCTGCTGTGTCTTTAATATGGTGTAAAGATTATTATGCGTTATTGAAACATCAAAGAGATGCAGCAAAGAAAAGTCACTTATTAAAACTATCATTTTATGCAACAAGCTTACATTTAAAAGAGAAACATAAGGGCGATCATTTGCAAAAAAGACCCCAGCCTATAATTTGTTCCAGATGTTTTCTTTCTCTTATTTATTTATTTGTTTATGTGTTTGGCGCATGTTCTCGTGTGCGATCGGAAAACTGTGCCCGCCTCTCCTTTCACTCCGCCCCGAAGCCCCGGCTGGCCCTCTTTGGCCCAAGGTATTCGGCGGGCTGAAAAAGACCGGCCGCTGGCCCCAAGAAAGACCCGCTTTGGCCTGATTAGGCCCCGGAAGTGACAGTGGAAACGCCATTGGCCTTGGCTCGCCCTGGCTTGCTCGCTTTAGGCGCGATAGTGGAAACGCGGCTAATAAAAACAACACTGACAGATTTAGTTTTAGAAACCAGCAAGAGTTACAACTAATGACACATCTAATTAGTGATCTTGTGGTGAATGTTAATCCAACATTTACACTTTCGAAGAGTGGATAAAAGACATGCAGTGGTTAAAGTACGCTATGACTAAAGCATTCACTGTAAAGCCGGTGGGATGGAGTTTTCAGGTAACAGTGTTTGCCTCATCTACACATTTTAAGCACGAGATGTTCTAACGTTATTTAATCCTTCATTTAATCTCCACGATGCTGTCAGTCATTTGACTGATAGTGCTTTCACCATCACTAAAGAGCATGCATTCACTGAGATGAAACTAATATTGCAGCTCATGAAAGAACAGTATTGTTATTAAGATGGCATATGCAAATAATAAGATATAATACCATTTGTGCAATATCAGACAGCACCCGTGAGAACAGCACAGTGATTATGGTAAATTTAGTTGATCTCATTCAAGTCAAGCAGTGCATGCAGGGCCCGTGAGCGATTTACAGATTTTTGTTTATTTGTTTGTTGTGATTAGAGTGTTAATATATAACAGAACATGTTCATATAAAACGTGTAGTAACGGTGCTTATCATTTTTGGTGGGTGCGATTAAATTTCGTCTGGTGCACCTACATTTTTGAAGTAAGGAGCACCAGTGCTACCAAGCAATAAAGGTTCATTTTGAGCCCTGTTAGACCCTAATCGGTAATGGAAATTTTGAGTTTTAAGAAAATGTTAAAATGTAATAGGCCCAGTTACATTGTTCCTTCATAAGCCCACTTCAGTCAGATAATTCCTGCTTTCAGATCTACTAAAATGGCAGGTGACAGTCAAATCAAGCAGATCTGTGCTGTCTGAGAAAAAGGTGGACACTCATCTTTCTGAAAATAAAAAAAAATACTTAAAAATAGATTAAAACCGAGTTCCATATAAAAACTAAACTATTCTTTTCTTTTTATTTGTTTAACTACCACAATATTACATTTATTTTTTATAAGAGGCTTTTTGGTTTTGAGTATAAAGAAGGATTTGTTTTATTTGCTGCTAAGCAGAAACCCCCAGAAGTACAGCTCTATTACTGTTTAAAGTAAAGGAAAATAAAAACAAGATCATGCTTTTATGATGTTAGTTTGAATCCATTAAAAAAATTTAAATCAGAGAAATCCTCTGGCTTTATTCTTTTTTTTGCTGTATCAAAAACATACCGAACTGTGACACTACTGTTTCGTATCGAACCAAACCGTGATTTTTTTGATCCGTTACACCACCTAATATATATATATATATATATATATATATATATAAATAAATGAATAAAACATTTTGTTTGTAGTTTGCAATAACTTATCTTATTTAGGAATCTCTCTATTCCTAAAGGTTTTAGGTGACCAAACTATAATTTTAATGCATATAACCATTTAATAAAGCTGTCTTGTTTAAATGCACCAAATATTATTTGTATTAAATGTATTGAAATGTATAAAAATTTCCATTTTAATAATTTATTTAATTTTAAAAGAGGATTTCATAAAAAATTCTTATTAATTTATTAAGATAGATATTTATTTAGATAGATCCTCTGCCCATCTTGACCTCTAAGAGACAATGCCACTCTGAGATGCTCTTTGTATACACAATCATGTTGCCAATTGACCTAATAAGTGGACAATTGGTCCTTCAGCTGTTCCTAAAATGTACATTTGACTTTTCTAGCCTGTTATTGCTACCTGTCCCAACCTTTTGGAATGTGTAGCTGTCTTGAAATCCAAAATGTGCCAACATCTGGCCTGAAATTTAAAAATTTCTCACTTTCAACATTTGATATGTTATCTATATTCTATTTCAAATAAAACACAAGTTTATGAGATTTGTCAATTATTGCATTACTTTCTTATTCACAATTTGTAGGTAGGTAGGTAGGTAGGTAGGTAGGTAGGTAGGTAGGTAGGTAGGTAGGTAGGTAGGTAGGTAGGTAGGTAGGTAGGTAGGTAGGTAGGTAGGTAGGTAGGTAGGTAGGTAGGTAGGTAGGTAGGTAGGTAGGTAGGTAGGTAGGTAGGTAGGTAGGTAGGTAGGTAGGTAGGTAGGTAGGTAGGTAGGTAGGTAGGTAGGTAGGTAGGTAGGTAGGTAGGTAGGTAGGTAGGTAGGTAGGTAGGTAGGTAGATAGATAGATAGATAGATAGATAGATAGATAGATAGATAGATAGATAGATAGATATGTATTAGAAATATTTTTTAATTGTTGCAAATTTATTAAAAACAGAATACCTAAAAAATTGTAATAAAAAAAAAAATTCACATGTACATAAGAATTCACAGCCTTTGCAGTGAAGCTCTAAATTGAGCTTGGATACATTCTGTTTCCACTGATCATTCTTGTGATGTTTCAGCAGCTTGATTGGAGTTCATCTGTGGTAAGTTCAGTTGAACAGGCATGATTTGAAAAGGCATACACCTGTCTATATAAGATTCCAGGGTTGACAGTGCATGTCAAAGCACAAACCAAGCATGAAGACAAAGGATTTTTCTGTAGACCTCTGAGACAGGATCATCTCGAGGCACAAGGCTAAGGAAGGTTACAGAAAAATTTCTGCTGCTCTGAAAGTTCCAAATGGACGGCCATCTAAGCTAAGTGATCAGGGGAGAAGAGCCTTAGGGAGGTGATCAATAACCCGATGGTCACTCTGTCTGCCACTCCCCAAATGGAATTTGCCAAAAGGCATCTGAAATGTTCTCAGACCACAAAAAACAAAATTCTCTGGTCTGATGAGACTAAAATTGAACTCTTCAGAGTGAATGCCAGGCGTTACATTTGGAATATCAAATGTAATGCCTATCAATAGAATGGCTTCACAACAACTCTGTGAATAACCTTGAGGGGCCCAGCCAGAGCACAGACCTTAATTCTACTGAACATCTCTGGAGAGATCTGAAAATAGCTGTACACCGTCGCTTCCCATCCAACCTGATAAGAGCTTGAGAGATACTGCAAAGAGGACTGGGCAAGGAGTTCCAAGCTTGTGGCATCATATTCAAAAAGACTTAAGGCTGTAATTGCTGCCAAAGTTGCATCAACAAAGTATTGAGTAAAGGCTGTGAATAATTATGTACATAAAATTTTTTAGGTTTTTTATTTGTAATAAATTAGCTATATATATATATATATATATATATATTCACATTGCCATTATGGGGAATTGTGTGATATTATTATTATTATATTGTACTTTTAGAAAATCAAAAGCATATCAAAAGCAAATCATATAGAACATACATATAGCAATATAGCAGGTAAAGAAACTCACCCAGATGTGCTGCAGGTCTTTGCTATTTACAGGATATAGAGCACAGTTGGTCCCTACAAGTTTCACTGCACATTCTGTGTTTATGTTAGTCACAATTCCACACTGTTTTTCCTGCAGGATTCAAAGAACAAATTACTGAACTCTGCCTCAATTAATACGGAACCCCGGAAGGGACGTAGTGGAGGAGAAAAAAATTGGCTGGGTGAAAAAAAAAAAAAAATGGGTGAAAGAAAAAAAATGGTGGGAGGAAAATATATATTTTTAAGTTTTTGCGTTCCCTCGCAAAGATGTTTTGCGTTCCCTCGCAAAGTCACTTTATTTACAATACTGTGCGCTGATCGTCGCCTTTCACTTTGCAACCTCTGAACCAGTGAATGCATGTTTAAGCGCTGACTGACAGACGCGCTTCGTACAATAAACTGATCCCAGATCAGCGTCTGTACGCGCCATTTAAAGGGACACTTCTGTTATCAAACAAGTGAGCAGCAAATGAATCTCATGTTTTGTTTAATTTGATAACAGAGGTGTCTCTGTAAGAATGCACAGATCTATTATGAAAGCAGTCCATTACTTTAGAAACTGTTTGTGCTCATTTAAGAGAAAATAAGTTGTTTAAAATAAAACATGCAGGACGGAGATGTTTTTATATTATTCAGTGTGTTTGTCTGTTTAAACACACACCCGCTCGTCTGTAGGATCTAGGATCAGTTTATTGTACGAAGCGCGTTAGTCAGCGCTTATACATGCATTCACTGGTTCAGATGTAGCATACGCACAGTAATGAAAGTAAAGAAAGTGGGATAGAATGGTAAAATACGGGAGAATTTCGGCAAAACGGGAGGGTTTACATGAGTGAAGTGAACAGGAAGTGTTTGTGGAGAAACAGTTTTGCGAGAGAACGCAAAACATCTTTGCGAGTAACGCAAAACATCTTTGCGAGATAACGCAAAACTTTGCGAGGGAACGCAAAACATTTTTGCGAGGGAACGAAAAACTTTGCGAGAGAACGCAAAAACTTAGAAATATATATTTTCCTCCCACCCATTTTTTTTTTCACCCATTTTTTTTTTTTTCACCCAGCCAATTTTTTTCTTCCCACTACGTCCCTTCCGGGGTTCCGTAAATTAATGATAAATGTCATCCTAAAGAATACACATGGTCTTTAAAAGCATTTTTTAAAACATCTTAAGCCACACTCCTGTCTACATTTTTAACAACTTTTCATTAGTAGACTTTCTAGTAAAATACAAGCTTTGGAGAGTTTTTTTTCCCCATTGTCCTGTGTTATTCTGCACATTTTTTTGTCTTTTAATACAAGTAATAAAACAACTTACATTTGAATTTATCCGCCGGACAAAGTCTCTAGGCACAATAGATCGATCTTCAAGTTTAAGCTACAAGATCAAGAGAGAAAGAATAAGACAAAGGAGAAAGAGGATGTAGTCTTATAGGTTATGCAGTTCAAAGGTTTCAACTCTTCAATCTACAATCAACAATCAAAACCTATGTCTATGTAACAGAATTAATAGCCCCCTTTGATTTTTGTTTTCCTTTTTTTTTTTTTTTTTTTTCCAAATGATGTTTAACATAGCAAGGAAATGTTCACAGTATGTCTGATGATATTTTTTCTTCTGGAGAAAGTCTTAATTGATAGATACACAAAATTTTAATTATATATCATGTTTTGACAACAGAAATGCAGGAAATTAGATCCGCCTGACCAACTGGAGCTCCTAACATTTTTAAATACCCACTATCCGTATACATAAACTACCGATTTGACTTTAAAATAACTATATTCTCGCTTGGAAAAACTCTTATAACTTGATTTTGTTTCTTAATTTAAGAGTATTTTTCTCATTTTGCAGACAGAACCCATCCGCCATTAACAGTCCTCATCAGTTTTCTGTGCAGCACATATGAGTTGCTATGGTAACTTTAAACGTTTGGGAGAAGCACATTTATTTTGAACTGTGATCAAAACTGACTGTTTAAAAAGAATGCACAACCTGCAGCCAATCAGAATCAAGAATTTCAACAGACCATGGTCAAAACTAGTGCGTTAACGCATGCGATAATTAGAAATAATTAACGCGTAAAAAAAAATGATGCAATTAATGCAGTTGCAGTTTTTTTTTCCTGTTGTGGGCAGGGGCGAACTGGACATCTGGCAGACCGGGCAGTTACCCACTGGGCCGATGTACTTTTTGGGCTGGGCTGATCATCTTATGATCTGATCGGCCCATAAAACACTTAGCACAGGGTACTTGCACCAATTTAAAAGTAAAATTAAATGCTTTTTAAAACCTTTTTAAGCCCTTAACAAATATAATTTAAGAACCAAAAAAATTATAATTTCTTTGGAAAAGGCTACACATTTTAATGTCCTCGTTAGATTTAAATAAATTGTGCCTCGTCACAGTATGGATAACCCACAGTACCTGCCTTTTGGGTGTCTGGTGGTGAAATGAAACTGTTATAGCTGACTGTGAGGGGGCATCTGAACTAGTGCTGTAATTAGGCTATAAAAGTTAGGCCCGATAGAGCCCAAACCAAAGTACATTTTGACTAAAAGCATTTTAAAAGCCTGACCCGTTTACAGCCCGACATTATCTAAGTGTGCACATGCACACAGCTCTTTTGTCTTTTTTGATGAATAAGTCGTTTATATGTGTTAACATTATTTATTCATAACATAGGCTACAGACCACTTGGAAGTTGGAACAAAAAAAATTAAATAAGCCCTCTGTATCATCTTAACGTCTCAACACTCTAAATAGGCCTGGGTACATACACTTAGCCTTTAAATTGGCCAATGCACCAATGCAAAAATAAGTCTTTCTTAGCAAATTAATTTAAATAAATGATGACAGGTATTTGGCAATGAAGAATTTAAGATAAAGGCTCTGTTGGATGTTTTGCCACTTCTCTTCACAATAAGGCGATGGTGAAGCTGAATATTAAAGGGCACCTAGGTTACCCCTTTTTTCAGATTTAATATAAGTCTTTTGCGTCTCTAGAATGTGTATATAAAGTTTCAGATCAAAATACCCGTCAGATTTTTCATAATACCTTTTACAAGATGCTGTCTTATACTGATTTCCAGCAGGGGGTGGTTTTGTCGTACTGCGCCTTTAAGCCGAGTTCTGCCGGCCTACTGTTTCTACACGCCTCCTCCTTCAGCTGCGTCAGACAACAGACAGACTTAAAGGAAGAAGGTCTCACGTAGCGTTTGTGAGATACTATAGTCAGAACTAAACTTTACTAATCAGTATTGTGAAGTTGCTTTGATGAGTCACACACAATATCGTTACAAAGTTAACGCGCGCGACGCACGCACGCACGCACGCACGCACGCACGCACGCACGCACGCACGCACGCACGCACGCACGCACGCACGCACGCACGCACGCACGCACGCACGCACACACGCACACACGCACACACAGGCAGACAGACAGAGCGCGCTTAGCTTTGTTAAGGCTAACCTCAAGTACTGTGTGGATATCTGTTATGCTGATGTACAAAATAAACCTGATTTAACTTCCACAAACCAGGATTAAACGTCTTCTTTTATAATTGTTCTCATAATTGTACACACATACTCTGTTTTAAAACACTTTAAACATGTGAAACTTACTCTTAATCACATTTGATGATGATTGCTGATCCTAGCGAACAGAACAGAGCTTTTATTCCCGGTTGCTTTGCGTATGTCTGTCTGGTCTTGTTGACATGTTCACGTGACTACCGGAACATGTTAATGCGCGCAGCTGTCAATCAATTCTGTGGGCGGGGGAATCGCACACCTACGTAATGGTGCAATCGATTTGAAAACAGCTCCAATTGGCCGACCCTTTTTTTGTAGTTAAATTGAAAAAAAAAGGACTGGGTGTGTTCATATCACCCCAGTATGACGGTCTATACACTATACCAACACACAGATCTGTCCAAACAGCTTGAAAAGTAGATTTGTAGATTAGTGCCCTTTAAAAGAATAATGCCAGCTTTAGCCTGTATACTCTGACTACATTATGATTTTATGGTTTTATTAATATTTAGTTAGAATTTAAAATTCTTTACTCACCAAGAATATTTGTTTTTGTGGGGGAACATTACTAAATCTACTGTAAATGGCTTTAGTCCTGCGCTCACTGAGCAGCACTGAACACCCTTTCACTGCTGCTGCTGCTGGCCGGGATGCACTATTGATCTGGCTAATTTAGCATGGTATGGGTAGGATTGTTTGTTCATCTTCCACCAGTCAAGAACATTCATTTCATTTTCCATGACAGCGGTTTCAAGTGAGTGACCTCATCATGTTCCCTGTCAGCTCGCTGGACACTGCTCCTTAGTGCTCTACCGTAATATGCAGTGTATGAGCGACCGCCGAAATACCTTGGCGGCTAGAATGACTGTTCGAATTAAACTGGCGGCTGGCCTGACCGCTGACAAAATTCACTCTTTTTGATATCTCTGTCATCATTTGTTTTACCTTTGCAGGGATGGATTTTAATGTATTAACAAACAATTTGATTACTTCCTCGCGCTAATCGAAATGCATCACATGAATGTTCATTTACTGCGCAAGCCCAAGCACGGCACGACCCTGTCTAAAATGATAGAAATAAAGTCTGAACCCAACAAAGATCTTCAGCTCTAGTCTGAACTAGTAACATTGTTAGGTCGAGCTGCAAACAATGCAGGGATTAACCTGGACCCGCTATGACTAGATGCTGCAACGTCCTGTGACTGCTTTCCTCATTTCATGTGCGACGCGACGACTTTGAGCCCCATGGTCCCTAACGAAAAGGTCTTTTTGCAGAATTTACACATTGCTTCTTCATCTTCATTGACTCTTCTTTGCCACGTCATTAAATTTACACTTTCCCATCTTTGCATTTTGAACCTCACCTCGGCAATTGCGTAATGACAGCACGCAGGTGCAGACCAATGTAAGCATCTGTAGCCAACCTACCGTAATAATCTAGTAAATCACGGATACTGTCATTTCTCTCTGTTTCACACAAACTAAATAATCAACTATTAGATGTTTTACGGTGGACCACTGTGCTTCCCTATCGTCATTAAGCACCCCGGCTAAAAATTTAATACCTACAACCACTTTATGGTAAAATTTAAGACAATTTAAGACCTTAATTTCCCTGATTTTAATTTAAGACATTAAGACTTTTTAAGGAACTGCGGAAACCCTGTAGCAGACTGTCATGTTTTTCTGCCTAAGTGATTGACGATCCTGTGAGCTGTGATGCTCTGAAAGTAAGATGTTTCTTTTCCAGACAGAGCGGCCCATGTGACATAATCTGCAGCCCATTGGTTCTTTTCTTTATTGACATTAGGCTGACCCAATCACAAACGTCCATGTTGGGCTCTGTGTAGCGTGCAACGTAGGTGTGTATTTGTCAATATAGTCGAGAGTCATGCCTGTTTCTCATGCTCGGGAGAGCAGAAGCGGCGAGTAGGCATTTGAATTTTGCATCTGTACTCTGCAGCGGAGCACAGATCAATATATTCCTGTCTATTCTATCTAGTAACCTATCTGTCCATATAAATATATATTTTTTTACTTTTAATCTGCACCACAACCCGCGGCGACTTCCTCCTATGCGGTTTCCTTAACCTGCAAGTCTTTGTTTTACAAATTATAAAGAATGTCTGCTTCAAGCTCTATGAGGAGTGTCATTTGTGTATTTTAAAATGCACTCAGTCAGAAGACAATCGTATGAGATATCATGACATTGTGCTTTTGATCGTCAACATGATGTAGGCTTATAGTGACAATAAAATTGATAGAATATGGTTATAATGATATTTATACATGACCAAACTAGTGTGCAACTTAAGAATTTTTTTTAACATTTAGTTTTGTAGTTCGGGCCCAAACAAATATTTGTTGCATTTTTCAATTGTTTAAAATCATTTGATTGGCAACGTAAAATCTTTTAGCTACATTTGATGTTTCATTGTTGAGTTAAACATTTTTTTAGGGTCTCTGATACATTGCTTTTATTATTTATCTTTATTTTATTAATCAACATTAACTGTGTGCGTCAGCAGGCAGTTTTTATGTCCATTATTAATTAGGCTCCCTCAAAACACACAGGCACACACAATATGGACTTCCAGTGTGGATTATAATTTTATAATAATAATAAAAAAAATTGAAGTTTTAAATTTGTCAACTCTCGTTATTTCCTATAATTTGCTTTTGTGCTTTTATAGAATGGGAGTTGGTAAACATATTCAAGGGCGTGCACAGGGTGCATTTTGAATGATATAGTGGACCACTCTAGCCCAAAGTACCAGGGCCGATTTTTTTGTCCCAGTTCAGCCCTGCAATGAGTATAATTGTGTGTATTCAATACATTATTA